AAAAAGATACCCCCATAAAGTAATGTGCGATGGACATCAGCCACCATGCTGTCAATCATATGGCATCATTAGAAACCACAAAAGCCTTACAGAAAGACCTGAAGTCATGTTGCAACCAGAACATATAAATTTAATAGAGATAAGCACATGTTTGGTACCCCTCCGTGCCTAAAATTGAGCCATGGTAAAATACGTAGCAAGTTCCATAAGCAGTTTCATACCACAAGCACATAGAATATGCAGAAATTGGACGTAAAGGACTGTGGATACAGACACAGTTCTGCTCAAGAAAATTCTCTTTGGTACACTTTTAGTGAATCCAAGAGTTTAAAAGCTCATCCAACTTCTAAGTGTCAGGAACAAGCTAATGTATCAAGGACACTGGCTTCAGTTCAAAAATCATATTATTCATGCAGGATATTGAAGCTTGCAGTGAAATAATGGTCACTGTTAATCATTCTATGTCATCACCAATTGAGAGTTTTGTGCTACTTTTAGTATACTAATAAAATGAGTGCAGATAAGGTGAAGGAAATTGTCACTACTAGATAGCAACCAAGTTACATTTCAATTTCACAGCTGCCAGGTAGAGAATGAATAATATCTTCCAATGTATCTCAAAGAATTCGGCGAGGAACCATCTTTGGGGAACTTGCAATTTTCCACATACCTAAAGTTAAAGAATTGTAAGGAAATGAACAAAAGAATAAGTAGAATGGAGAAGAAAAACTGAATCACTTCATACTTGGCAGTTGGACCATCCCAGTTCTTAGCATTTCCTTCATTTACGGAATAGATCTTTCCTTTCTTTGGAATCTGCGCAGAAAGCCAATGGCTCCATGTGTATAAGAAGAAGTGTTATTTATTGGTGCAAAGATAAGGCAATGGACTCTTTTTCCCCCTCTTGAACATTATTCTCTCCCAATTCATAAGACATGGCATTTTATCTTAGTGTGAGCAGCTGAACAAGCATATAAAGAAATCGGCAATTTTCATGATTGACCCGATGCTCAAACAACAAATGTACCTTAATGCCTGGATGAGTCAGAATGAACTCTCCAAGAGATGGGTCAAGGGTGAAACCATGAACTCCACTTCCAGTGCTCAACACAAGCTGCAAAATCATTAACTTCTTGAATGAGTATAAAACTGTAATGAAAGACTAGAATACAGACTGAAAACGCCCTCACTGGTTCTAGTTATTTGATGAAGAAAAAAGTCTCATTCAAATAACAGCCTTCTTCTGGTACATTGAGTTGCCAAGAAGAGAGGGATTTGAATCTTGGACCTCTAAATTCTAAACAGGGCAACAACCAATAGGCCGAGTATAGGTTCATAATTCGTGAAAAAAGCATTTTCATTTAAAGACATCCTTCAGCCCCCACCTTACACTCCTCTCAAAAGCAAAAACAAAAATGGAAAAAATAAATGAAAGAAGGAGGAGAAAGGTAAAGGGAAAAGAAAGTCCAAATAAAAGCTAAGAATATGGAACATGAGAAAGGTTAAACTTTTTACCGTGCAAGAGCTTCCATACATGCAATAGCCAGCTGCCAACATATTCTTCCCAGGTTGCAGCACATCATCTAGAGTTGGCTGGTGGCTATCTTTCAACATGTAAATCCCAAAAATCTAGATGAAAGAGAACACACCCAGTTGATTACTTCAAAATTAGTTCTCTTTGAACACTAATTACTTCAGAAAATTTTGGTACAGCACCATATGAAACATTAGTTGGGACAAGCGGCCATACCGTTCCAATTGAAACTCCACAGTCAATGTTAGAGGAACCATCTAGTGGATCAAAAACAACACAGTACCTGCATAACAAAGACAAGATTAAATGGAATGTGATTAAGAAAAATCTAAAATCTACATTTAAAAAATTTTTCAAAACATAATAGGGGTTGATAATCATAATAAAGAGAGAACAAATGAACACACTTTCCACGCTTGGAGGGCTCCACAAATGTTGCCTCTTCATCTTCTTCTTGTTCAAGAATTTTCAAAATATTTCCAGGATTTGGGTTCGAATCACAAAAAGTTGATTCGAAGCAATTGTGCAGAATGCATTTGAGAAAGTATAACTTTGGTTCGAATCATAATTATATGATTCGAATCATTTACGAAAAATTAAAATCCGAAAAGTTACGATTTTGGTTTGAACCACATTTTTCTGATTCAAACCATTTACACCAGAATAAAGAGATAAAATTCAGATAAGTTTCTGAAGAGAGTGGATAAATTTGAAAGGCAAGGAAACACGTGAGTTGGAATTCAAATCAAACCAAATGACTTTTGAAAGAGTTTCCAACAGATAAAAATTGGAAAGAAGTGTTTGTTCCCAATAGACATCTTGAAAAGAAGTGCCTATTCCAACATACATCTTACCCTATAAATATGGAGGTATCTCTTCTTCTCTGGTAGAGTCTTTTTGAACCCAGAAATATCTAAATAAAATAGTCCCTTTTTGTATTGCGATTGCTCGAGAAATCCCTATACAAAAACTATTGTTTTGTCGCTTTCCAAAGGATGGTTCAGTGGTTGATCTTGCTAGTGCAAAGGCTAGATTAACAAGGCGCTTCATTGTATCCTATGGGCATTTCGAGTTACCCCTTTTACATACCAGATTTGGTGGGGGCGAAATTAGCCTAAAGGAAAGTGGCATTTGCAGCACGCCTTGAAGCCAATGATCTAATGATCTATTTTCTAACCCCCTATTTCTCTAACAATCTTTAGGCTCATTTTCAGTTTTTTGAGATCATGGCTTGCTGGATAATTGAGAAGAAACTTGTGCTACAAAATGCATGTGAAGCCAAGGAGATTTGGTGTGCAATAGTAACAAAAGGAAAAGGGATTTCTGGTGTGATTAACCCATCTACAAAAGTGGTGGTTTATTAAATTGATTATAGCAATCGTGTAACAAAGCAATCGTGTAATCAAATTGTCAATGAGTGACGGTGGATGAATCAACCACATGACGCAAATAAAGTTTTTGAATTATAAGGTGATGATGATGCATGATATCAATGCAAAAGGGAAACAAAGTGCAAACAGATTGAAACTCAATATAGGAGGAATAGGTACGCAGAATAACTTTATGCTCTTGATTACCATGAATTTTTCGTATGATTTTGTTTTGCAAACAAATTTTGAGTGGGTTTATAAAGGGAAAAAAACAATGCTCATGATCAAAATACATGAGTTAGTTTTATAAATTAATTCTTCAAGTTTGAGTGATGGTTTCATATCATTATCTATCAAATCTCTTTGAATAAAACATTGCATTTAGTGATATTGTTTCACAAGCTGTTCATCCATGCTTATCTCTTGTATCTATTTAATTAAATATGAGGAGAAAACATCTCCTGGAGAATGGCTTCAAAGAAGTTATCAAAGATGCAAATGATTGTGCAAAGATTCATAATTAAACGTCATTTGGCACAATGAAGCAAGAGAAATAAAATGGGTCTTTAAATCCCATTTGGAGGTTAAATAAATCTCAAACTTTATAGCATGGTTCTTGGCTGTGAGAAGGAAGATATTTATGGATTTGAATATGATCATGTTTTAAGATCATGATTGTGCCTTGATTTTGAGATTACTAATGTGATAAAAATAAAGTTATGTTTTTCTTTTCATTTAGAAATGATTATTTACTGTTCTTTGATGAATACTTATGAAGCTTTATGGAGTTTAAGTAGTACATCTTACGTCTAGACCTGATCTTATTAAGGTTTGCTCAAGGCTTATTAAAGTCAATGAGATTTCCTTTACTTGGATTATGTTATAAGCATGTCTATGTATATGACAGTTTTAGTTAAAATCATTGAGTTTCTTGTACATGTGTTAAACATGATTACTGTTTTTAATATGAGGCTTGTGGAAATATAAGAGGCTAATGAATCTGGTCATGTTTCATTAATGAAAGGTTGCTTGAAGTATATTTCTACTTGTTACTTTTGATGCCTTCTATTTATTCTTGTAAGATTATATACCAGCATATGAATATTAAAACAAGTGAGAATCAAGTCTCATGATGGTTCTTTATCCATGTTAAAGAAAGAAATACTAAAATGGGATTTGGCAAACCCATTTGGAGATCCAACTGATGGTCTTAGTATAAACTAAGAGAAAAGAGGCCAAGTAAAAAGGCTCCCAGTTTTGATAAGTCATGAAGGATTTTGAATCCTTGTTTAAATGCTATCTCTTAATGAGATCATTTGTAGAAACTAGTGCAACCTTGTGCACTTGCCTGATTTTTGGAAGCCTGGAAAGATGGTCCAAAAGATAAAGAAATATGGATTTAAAGAATCCTATAAATAGCAAGAGTGAATAGCTCTTGGTCATGGAAAATGAATCTAATGATTTGAGTTGTTCCAGAATTTTTGGTTCAAATCACTCAAAGATGATTCGAACCAATTACGTAGGAAACTTAGAAGTATCAAGAAAATTTGAAACTTTTTTTACTATCCTAATGTGCCTCTCATAAAGAATGCTAATGTCATAAAATTGACAAACAATATTTAAAATGGTGGGAACAATCCCAGGAGTGAGAGGAATAAGGACTAAAAGTCCTTGACACATGAAAAGCAAATAAAATTTAATTTGAAGTGGAGGAAGCAAGAATTCCACTTGTTCATGATATTACAAGATTATACGGCACTGTTTAAAAGTGACAACACTTGTTCCTGAGAAAAAGTGATAGCGCTTGTTCTTGGAGATGTCTACACTTTTCAAGAGTTCATATTATTTTAAGACATTCTTATATGAATGTGTATGATGACTAAAAATAATAGGATGTCATCAAGTGCTTATAAAGACATTCTTAAATGTTGCAAGGTCTTGTGTGAATTAATTTCATGAATCCTTAATTAAAAGGATTATCAAAGGAAAATTCACAATACAAAAAGAGGGATGGGTCTCAAGTCCATTGAAAAAGTCACACATGATGGAACCTCGACTTAACGCTTGATAAAAACTTCAAGTCTTAAGTTCAATGAGTAAAATACATCATATGAATGTGACTGCAAGTACTCAATTTATCAATAATACCATCCCAAGTGGAAGAGTACTTGGTAACCACATGAAACAAAAGGAGGATGAGTTTTACTCTTAATAAGTCCTATAACAGATTTCTGTTGAAGTGCTTAATGTGGTGGCACTTTTGATGGGATCTACCTATATGAGTGGAAGTGGTGTTGCTTCTAGGAGTTGGGGACTTGACTCTAACAGCACTCATGAAAAGGATACAGGACACATGGCCAGTTTTTGTGTCGGTGGATGCTGAATTTCTTTCTTTGGAAAGCTTGAAGTCTTGTGTGTGACATGTGCCCAATTAATCACTTAGAATCACTGGTTCAAAGCATTAGTCTACCATGCAATTTTGATTAATTTGCCAACACATGTTCACTAAGTGAAAGGTTCAAATCATAAGATACCTTCATGTATGCATAAGATTTCCAAAACAATTGGTGGGCTATTCTATTTTGAAAATGGTGGGGGAATGTTGAAGAATTTTCAAAATATTTCCAGGATTTGGGTTCGAATCACAAAAAGTTGATTCAAAGTAATTGTGCAGAATGCAGTTGAGAAAGTGTAACTTTGGTTCGAATCATAATTATATGATTCGAATCATTTACAGAAAATCAAAATCCGAAAAGTTACGATTTTGGTTCGAACCACATTTTTCTGATTCAAACCATTTACACCAGAATAAAGAGATAAAATTCAGATAAGTTTCTGAAGAGAGTGGATAACTTTGAAAGGCAAGGAAACACGTAAGTTGGAATTCAAATCAAACCAAATGACTTTTGGAAGAGTTTCTAACGGATAAAAATTGGAAAGAAGTGTTTGTTCCCAATAGACATCTTGAAAAGAAGTGTCTATTCCAACATACATCTTGTCCTATAAATATGGAGGTATCTTTTCTTCTCTGGTAGAGTCTTTTTGAACCCAGAAATATCTAAATAAAATAGTTCCTTTTTGTATTGCGATTGCTCGATAAATCCCTATATAAAAACTATTGTTTTGTCGTTTTCCAAAGGATGGTTCAATGGTTGATCTTGCTAGTGCAAAGGCTAGATTAACAAGGCGCTTCATTGTATCCTATGGGCATTTCGAGTTACCTCTTTTGTATACCAAATTTGGTGAGGACGAAATTAACCTAAAGGAAAGTGGCATTTGCAACACGCCTTGAAGCCAATGATCTAATGATATATTTTCTAACCCACTATTTCTCTAACACTTCTGAGACAAGGATTCTCTGTAGAAGATCCAAATTGTTAAGAAAAAACTATAATGTCTCTAGCTTTATCATATTCAAGCTCATTCAACTACTTACCATTCGACCACTATTCACTAAAGCCTTGATAAAAAAACATCATTTGAAAGCACGTCTAGTTTCGTTTGCTCCTCACCCTTCACTCGAAATAGGGACGTAACCTTGGCATGTCATAAAACAGAGGAACTAGTGCCCATTGTTAGAATATAAAAAGGTAGATCCTTCAATCAACTACTTGCCTGAATATTAGTCTCACCAGCAAGTCCAACGAGCTTGGCAAGACCAGCCTGCGTGAGTAAACAGCAAGAGATAATACTCACTTGTAGGACCATAAATGCTGATGTATAGTAATACAAGCATGTTCATAACTTTGATTGAGATAGCGGAGTTAGTAGTCATTAACTTCAAAACTTCAAAACTTTAATTGTGTTCTCACTAATTCCAAAACTTTAGTAGTCAGTTTTCAAATACCCAAAACACTAACTTTACGAAACCACCCGCCAACCATTAGGAACGAGAAAATTAATAGAAACACAAAAAAAACAAAAACTGTATTACAGGTCGACCTGTACCGATCTGTAATCATCATAGTCATTAAAAGGAAAACGTGCTGAAATTGGATCCCCCCCTCCTCATATCAAGGGTTTTGAACTTTTGATGTTACAATAAATTGTAAAACAAGATTTTGATAAAAAAAATTATTAAAAATATTTAAATAATTTTATAAAAAAAATTTGATAT